TACGGGGAATACCCGAGTAATTAAAACATAACAAAAAGAAAAAAGATTGTTTATATATATCATAGATTCAAAGGACCAAGTCCCTTGTTCTCTCTCTGTAAACCCAAATCTTCCGGTTTAACTATGGTTTCATCAAGAGGTTTGGTTCGACGAAAACCAAAGCTTTTTCTGGCAAACCAGAACCTTCTCGCTTTTAACGGCATACTCTGTTTCCTCTTTCCGGCAACTCCACCTCATTCCCTTGGCCATAGTCGTGATTGCGTCCATGAAATAGCTCGATTCTCGGACTATTACGTATCCGCTCGGTCGCAAGATCCGGTCCATCTCGAGTAGAACATGCTTCATCTCGCACCTATTCACGGTTCACAAACACACATTAATACCAAAAACCATACCAAACCAAATCTCAAAAACCAGTAACAAGCGGTTTTAGTACACACCGGAAAAGATTGTGCATTCTAGGAATGTTCAATACGTAATAACCAAAAACAATCTAAAACCGCAAACCGAGAAACCGAAATATTGAACACTCCTCTGTGCATTCTCTAGCTCGAAATCTTTCGAAAAGAAGTTGTGTGTTTCATCATTCATCAAACAAGACTCTTCGGTTAGGGGTACCGTACCTCTGACTCTCAAAGGTGAAAAGGCTGTCGAGGTGAAGAAGATCATATGTTCTTGGATACGTCGAGAACGCCTCGCACCTGCAATTTCGGTTTCAAGTTAATATCATACACATACCGAATAATGAAAACAGTGTGTTTTTGAAAAGGATTGTTTTTTACCAGTCGTGGTAAGTCCCAATGAGACCGCGATCAAAGACAACAGGAAGCGTATTTGCGCTGTATGACGAAACGACGTTCATGACCCAAATAGGATCCTTGATGAGAGCTGCAGCGAAGCCTCCATAAACCGTGTTCATATCCATAACGTTCCTTATCTTGTCTGTCCCAAGAGCTGGCAAAAGTTTCTTGTAATGCTTGACTCTGTTCTTCCATTTACCGTCATCGTGTTTCAAACCGGCCGCGCTCCCTCCGTGAACATCCGAGATTCTCTCTGGTGCAACGTTTAGCCTCTCAGGCCATTTTGGGATTGACCCTAGACCCGAATTCTTGACTTTAGGGGTCGGGGCAACCACGCAGGGACGAAGCGGAGTGTACCAAGCGGAATCGGGTTCTATGCTGTCGTCACATTTGGGCGGGTAAGCTTCCATGTTCTTTGCGATTTTGTCGTAGCAAGATTTGTCTGAGAGTTTCTGCCACACGGCTATGTCGTCTTTTTGGGAGTACTTTTTGAAACACATGGAGGTTAGAAGTGACTGAAGCTTGTCGTAGTCGGATTTCTGTTCTTCCATGGTCGTGTTCCATCCCTTCCACCGTCTGTTATAGTTCACAGGTGGACCAGAAAGAATCCAGAAACCTCCAGGTCGGACTATACGGTGAATCTCAAGCAAATAGATTCCTCCTACAAAATCAGATAGAAAATTTTATGAGCCTTCTTAGTTCCAAATCCGGTTAACCTCGGAAACGGTTCTGAATTGAGGATTTTATAAACAAAACTTAAAAACAGATGCTTACCGAATTCAGTCCAGGGAATAAGACATCTTGAGCAATGAGCCATATCAAATGCATTTGAAGGGAAAGGCAAACGTTGCGTAGAGATAATCCCGAGAATCGCAGGGATTCCACGTTCAAGAGCAAACTGAACCTGAGCTTCATGGTTATCTCTTGGAGCAAGAGAGAGTGATAGAATCCCACGGTCCAAAAGATCACCTCCCCAGCTCGCAACCTACAAATAAACCACAGAAAATTATAACCGAACCAAACCAATTATAGAACTTAAGTAGTTAAAAAGAGAGACTAACCCCACAGCCAGTATCAATTGCAGTCCTGACTGTTCCATCTTTCATTCCAGGAATCAGATCTAGCATCAAATCAACATAGTGACTAACTCCACGAGGAAACATTGTACCACCACCCGGAAAATAGAACTTGTCACCTTCTTTCTTAAGCCAGTGCTGGTTTGATTTTTGCTTATTGATCCAATCATAAGGCACGTTTCTGTACCAACACTGGTCTCGGCTCTTGGGCCATCTTATAGGTGGTTTATACCCGTCTGGTGGTGGAATCAAACACTCGTTTCTTTCGTAAATCGGAGGACAATGACGTTCCAAGAAACTAAGGCGATGAACACCGTACTTCTTCCACCTCTGAACAAGAAAAACACAACAAATGTTAATTTTTATGCAACTACAAGAGAAAACACACAAACTGAAGAGTGTATGTATTCACCTTTGGATCGGTGCAGGGTGTGTAATCTTGGAACTCTGATCCACATTCCGGGAACGAAACAGATTTGATCTGAAGTGGAGAAACTGTAGGTTCCTTAGGGGAAGCTACTGCCTTTGTAGTGGTACTTGTGACATCTTTAGCCTCAATCTTGTGTCTCTCAGAGCAAAATATCCCACCAAGATAGAAGGAGAAGCCGCAAAATGCGATAAACAGAACCGTCAGTGACAAGATCTTCGAAGAACCCTTTTCGGGTTGCGAAGTTTGCTTCCCGTTCTTCATAACTCTATTACACCAACCAAAACCTCACCTACCTGCAGATTCAGTGAAACCAAAGTATATTTATAAACACACTCAGCTCAATAATGAAGTGACACTATGATAATGAAGTGAAGCCTAACTAATCAACAATAAAGTTTGAATCTTTGATCAATAACTATGAAGGAGATTAGTAATTTAGATAAAAATGGATCAATGAGATCTGAAAATAGACACCTTTTTTTCCCAACACAGTGCAAGTTTGTGTCGCATTTTCACATTTTTTTCTTAAGACATGATTTATGGGTCCCCAAAAAACTAAAGGCATCCCACTACTAGGTCAATAAAGTTGAATTTGGTAGACATCAATCGCAACGACTCATTTGTTTTAACGCTAAAACAACACAAAAAGTCTCAAACTTGTACAGTTTTAGGAATCAACAACTGTGGATTCACCCCAAAGATCGAAACTTTTAATCAAAAAAAATGAAGAAAATTCAATTTAAAGATCAGATCTTTGAATGGAATTTGTAGTACCCATCAAACAAACACAAGTCTCACTTTAACAAAGATTACAGCTCACAAGCAATAGAGAGAAATGGATCTG